ATCCCTATTTGACTATTTTTTTCCTGGATTCTAGATGGGTAGAAGAGAAGAACTATCATAATTTATGACAACACATATAATTATTTCTATAAAAAAATATATAAGAAATATGTTGAAATTATTTGTCAGAAATAATTAATAATTATAATTATTAATTAATAAAATAATTAATATTTATTAATATTTAATAATTAAAAATTAACTTAATTTTTTAAAAAACTATTATTAATCACAAATTAATAAAATTTTTAAATTAAATATATTTATAATATTTTATGTGACTTGATAATTATTTTTACGACTATAACCATAGTGCTGACAAGTGATCCACGTGCTAGAAAATTGAACAGCACTTATTCATGGGAGTGTGGGACCCATTCCATAGCACTAATGGAGTTTTGTCCCATGTTTTCGTTCCATTTAAATTTAAGTTGATAACGTCACTTACAGTATTTTTTTAGGTATATTTATAGAATTTTTTTTATAATTTATATATTTAATAAATTATTTATTTTTATTTTTTAGAAAAAAAATACAAAAATTATTTTATCCAAAATTAATAGAATTGTTAAATAATTTAATAAAATTTTTAAAATTTTTTCATATATTATATATATATTAAATTATTAATTAATTTAATTTTAAATAATAATTTGTATAATTAAGTAATTTTATAATAAATAATTTTTTTAAATATAATTATTAAATATTAAGAAACTTTTTAAGATAATACAATACAATACTTTTAACAACTACAATTATGAGATAGTATCGGGTAGCATTATCAAATTAAATCTTAGCATCATTTTCCTAAATTAAAATATCTGGCTTTTTTTTTTTTTTACACTGAGAAAATATCTTGCCAGGTTCTTACCTGGGTAGATCAAGGATCATTTTCTTCTGGTTCTTATTTTGTTAATTTATGGTTTATTTAATATGGTTGTAATTTTTAACTTTTAATTTTAATTTTTATAAATTTAAAAAAAATAAAAAATTAATATTTCATTTAGTATAATTGTTGTTTTGAATTTTTTATTTTAGTTTTCAAATTTTAAATAATTAAAATTAAAAATTAAAAACCTAAATGTAAAATTAAAATTGTCAAGATATAAAATTTTAAAATAAATATCTAAAACTTTAAATTTAATTAATTTATAAAAA